AGTACCAAAAACGAAGTAATTATATATAATAAATATATATAATATATATATATATATATATATATATATTTTATATTTTTATTTATTTTTTAATTTTTTCTTATTTTTAATAAGAGCTAATTAGTTAATTTAGACTTGGCTCCTTTATTCCTTATTTATCCTTAAGGATATAAACATAAACCTTAAACTTATTCAGGCCCAATTAAATTAGAGAAAATAATAGATTTTTTAAATGTTTATTTTATATTTTATATAATTAAAAAATTTTTTTTTTTTAGTATTGGGTTAGAGATCTTTAATTAGAACTTATATTGCCATTAGGAGGTAAATAAGATTTAAATTAATATGTTATAAAAAACGAGCTTTGATATTTATATATTTTATAATTAAATTTCTATGTTTTTTATAAATACTTATTTTATTTTATTTTATATTTTTTTTTTAATTTATAATAAAGTTAATATATATATATATATATATTATATTTAACAAAAGATATTCTAAAAATATTTTTTTTTTAATTAATTTTTTTTAAAATTTATAAATTAAAAAAATAATAAATAAATTAATTTATATAATTTTTATTTTTATTTTTCTTAAAATATATTAAATTATATTTATTTTTTATAAAATAATTTTTTTTTAAATATTATTAATATTTAATATTTTTTTATTTTAGATCTATTATTATTTTATCTTATTTTTTTATATTTATAAAAAAATTAAATATATATCATTAATTTTAATTAATTTTACTTTTTTTTATAATTAATCTATTATAATATTATAGATTTTTGCAGATAAATAATAAAATATATTTAATTAATTAATTATTATTAAAGGTTTTTTTTTATTAATATTTTTTTTTTATGTTTTTTAAAAAAATATATATCTAAATTTTTTTACAATTATTATAATTATAAAGTATCATAAAATAATATATTTAATATATATTTCATTCTGAAAGATTGTTTTTTCTTTTAAGAATATTTTTTTAATATATTTCCTAATTTCTTATTTTTTTTTAATATAACATACATCCTTTTTGAAATCCCATGTAGACGCCGTAAAAGCATTTGCATGGTCCCCACACAAATAAAATATTATTGTTTCAGGAGGAGAAAATAAAGATAAAACTTGAAAATTTTGGAATATTTAAACTAATTAGTTAATTAAAAGTATACATATAGGTAGTTAGATATGTAATATGCATTATTCTAAAAATTTTAATGAAATTATTACTACTCATGGGTTTTAAATTAATGAAATTTCACAATGGAATGCTAATAAATATTCGTAAATTACTGCTTTGTATGGACATTCTGAAAGGGTATTATATTTGGCAGTGTCTCCAGATTAAGAAGATATTGCTACAGGATCGGCAGAAAACATTGAGGTTTTGTAAAGTAATTATTTATATTTATATTAAATATAATTATTTATAAATTTTCCCTAGTTTACCGAAAATTGATATTAATAATTAGTAAATTAAATTAAATCCTTTCTATGAAAGCTTGAGATAAAAAATTAATGTTTTTTTTATATAAAACAATAAATATTTTATATATAATAAATGAATAGCTTTTTTGTATTTTATAATATTTTTTATAAAATTATGTTTTATTTAAATCAAACATATAATTAATTAATTAATAAAAAAACTAAATTATTTATTAATAAAGTTTAATTTTTTTTTTATTTTATTAAATTAAAAAATATATTTAATTAATAACATTTTAGTATTATTTATGAAATTTTAATATTTATTTATATTTTTTATTTTAATAAAAAATTTTATTTGTGAATTATATTTTTTTTTTTTAATAATTTTCTTTTTACATTATTTATTTTATTTTATTTTATTTTTATTTTAATTTTAATATTTATAATTTCGTTTAATTAAATAAATACACACATAATAATATATAAATATTTTATAATATATAAAAACATTATAATAAATTTTAATTTATATAAAAATTATAAATATAAATATTATTAAATAAAATAATTTAGTATTCATTTTATATATATTAATATTTATAATTAAATTATAATATAAATTTTTATTTTATTCTATATTTATTTATATATTTAAAATCTAAATTTAATTGAATCTAAAATTATAAAATTATATTTACTAAATGATTTAAACTGATTAAATGCAATAAACAGATTAAATGGATTAATAAACATAAAATTTTATTGGAAATATTGAAGACCTAACACCCGAATATAGTCTTAACTTGAAAAATCCAAACTTATTTTTCACAAATTTAACAAAACTAATAAAAAACGTAAAATCTAAAAAAGAAAATGAATATTTAGAAAATAAAGAATTATAAGAATTCTAAATAAAAGCAAACCAAGTAGGCATAATAATAAAAAAAATATAAAATTACATTAAATAGAGTCCTTAATATTTTCAAGATCCTGAAAACTTTAATTTATTTAAGATTTCATTCCATATTGCTGGAAAGTATTTATTAATAGGCTTAAATTTTTTTTTTTGGTAAAATATGTTAAGTTGCTTTTAAATATATATATTAGATATTTTAACTGATTCTTTAAAGGAAAATATTAATAAAGACTATATAACTTTTCTTTTAATAATTCTTATTGTATGTCATTTAATATAAAATATTCTTGATTCTTAATTTAGATGGTTTAATTAAAAATGGAGTTCATCTATGTCCGTAACTTTACAATATCTTCTTTTTAAAAAGGCTTTAAGGACTTAAATATTTACAGGAAACTAGGCATAGTAGAAAAATAAAACTAATATAAGTTAAGAAAACAATTAAAATGTTCCTGATATTAATAATTTAATGACTGTAGATGTAAGTGAATGTTTATATTTTTATTGGGGATTCATTTCTTTTATAGTTTCTTTTATAAAAGTTATAATAATTTTGGGTATTTTATACTATAAGATGGGAAATTCTATGTTTTTGGGTTTATATGTGTTGATAGGATCACTTTTTGCTAGTTTAGCTTCTACTTTTTTTACGTTATTAATGCATTAAAAAATCTATTAAAAGAAAGATGAAAGAATTTCTTTAAGTAAGGATGTTATTGAAGGAATAAAAAGTATAAAATACTTGGGTTGGGAATAAATATTGAAAAGAAAATTATGAATCTGAGATTTTAAGAATTCAAATTTATATCAGGGTCTAAACTATTTGAAGGAGTTGTAGATATATTTTGGTAATGTATTAATTATGTAGTCTTATTTTTTTTATTAACGTAATATAATGAAAATAATTCAAAAGGAATTTAATAATTCAATGTTTTTACGATAATTGCTCTTTTTGGGTAATTAAATTATCCTCTAGGAGTTATTCCGTGGACTTTGGGGTATGTAATGAAATGTCGAGTTTCTTACTAAAGAATTAAAATGTATTTAAATCAAAAAGAAATAGATGAAAGCCTTAAAATTTGTTAAGATGAATTTAATGAGAATTCTATTTTAAAATAGTAAACTGTTTCTATTTATTTAAATAATTTATAATTTACTTGGCCAAATAGAATTTAAACTAAATAAGATTTTGAAAAATAAATAGATGAAAAAAATGATATTTAAATCAAGTTATTGGATAATAACGATGACTAAATAAATTAAGACTTTAAACTCATAATAGATAATTTAATAATAAACAAAGGAACTTTAAATATAATTGTTGGCTAAATTGGATGCGGAAAAAGTGCTTTTTTGTAATCTATTTTAAATGAAATGGATTGCTAAATAAATAATAATGTTAATTAGGGCTAAAAATAAATAATTGTTAATGGAAATATAGCTTATGTTTCTTAAAATCATTGGCTCTAGACTAAAACTATAAGAGAAAATATTTTATTTGGGAAAGATTTTGAATAAGAATGGTATGATTAATGTGTTGAAGTATGTGATTTATAGATTGATTTTGGATATTTTTGGAAAAAAGATTAGAAGGTAATAGCTTCTGGGGGAAGTAATTTAAGTGGAGGGCAAAGATAAAGGATTGCAATTTGTAGGGCTATTTATTCAAAGAAAGATATATATTTATTTGATGATATTTTTTCCAGTTTAGATGCTCATGTGGTTGAAAAAATATTCGAAAAAGCCATTATAGGTTTACTTATTTAAAAATTGAGAAAAACTGTGATTTTTGTAACTAGTCATTATGGTATTTTATCAAAAAACTATAATATTGATCAAATAATATATATTGAGAACGGTTAAATTATAAATAACGAAGAAAAAATACAGGAATTTATTCATAATAATATCCAAAATGAAATAGAAAAGAAATAAAAAAAATAATAAGAAAATAAGATGTTTTTTAATGAAATAAATGAAATAGAAAATAAATTAAAAAATGAGCTTTAAATAACACAATCAAAAATATTTTAAAAAAATAAATAATTTAATGACAAAGAAGAGGATATAATAAATTAATAAGATGAACTAAGAGAATAAGGCGTAATAAAATTCGATATCTATCTATAATATTTTAAATCCATGAATTATTTTATATTTTTTTTGTATTTATTATTTATTGCTTTTAATCATGTAGTTTAATTCTTTATTGATTTTTGGCTAAGAGACTATGTTTCTAAAGATTAAAATTCATATTTCTATGAATTTATGAATCGTTTTTTCAATTATAATTTCGAGGAAACTTTCCTTTTCTAAATTTATTTAATTTTATTAATAAACGTTTTCAATTGTTTATTTTATTTCTTGAGTTCAATCTTAAGTTGTTAGTCTATATTTAAGAAACTTAATAAGAGTATAATATACAGTAAAATGAGCTTTTTTGATAAAAACCCCGTAGGGAGGATTGTTTGTAGAATTTCGAATGATGTAGGATAAGTAGATCATGATATTCCATTTTCTTTTCACGAAACTTTAAATTAATTTATGTCAATTTTAGGCTATCCTTTAGGAATTTTAGTTATGTTTCCATGGATTTCATTGCCTTTTATTATTTCGGTAGCTTTGATGCTTTATTTCTTCCTTTAATTTAGGGTTGCTAATAGGGAATTGTAAAGGCTAACTTTGGTAAATAATGGAAAACTATTGACTATTATAAATGAAAATTGTAATGGGTTGATTCTTGTGAGGTCTTTTGAGCAAGAGAAATATATGACGAGGGATTTTTTATATAAGTTGAATGATTATAATAACTCTTTTCTATGCTCTCATTCTATTTAAATCTGGCTTTTGATAAGAATATTAATATCATCGAATATTGTTTATTTTTTTGTGTGTGTGACTGTTTCGTTGCTAATTTATATGGATATGCTGATCGATTAGAATATTATTGCTATGTGCTTGACTTATTCAATTTTATTTTCTGATGGTTTTGCGAATTTTCTTTATTTTTAAGGAGTATTAGAATAAAGTATTATCAGTGTGGAAAGGATTGTTTAATATTTCAAAAATGATTTGGAAAAACCTGAAGAGGTTTTGTAAGGAAATTTAGAAGAAAATGAGTTAAATATTGAAGAAAAAAGTGGAAATTATGATATTATTTTTAAAGATTTATACATTACATATGATCAAGTAACAAATATTGACAAAAATTAAAAAGACATACAATTCGCATTGAAAAATATTAACTTAAAAATTAAAAAAGGAGAAAAAATTGCTTTTTGTGGAAGAACAGGAAGTGGGAAAACTTCAATTTTGAATATAATTTTTAATTTATATCCATTTTAATTTGGAAGTATTTTTATTGATGGAAAAAATATTAAATAGTACTCTATTAAGGAATTAAGATCAAAAATGTCAATTATTCCTTAGTTTGGATTCTTATATAATAGTAGCTTGAAGGATAATTTAGATCCTGATAGTTTTTTTTCAAAAGAAGATGTTGAATAGAAGATTAATTAAACGAATTTAAAATTAAACATTTAAAATGAATAATAATAAGAAATCAATGATAATTAAAAAATTGATTTAGATTATAAAGTGGAAAACGGAGGAAATAATTTATCTAATGGATAGAAATAAATTATAAATTTTTTAAGAATTATTTTAAGGGATACTGATATTATTTGCTTAGACGAGGCTACGTCTAATATGGATCCTTAGACAGATTAGGAATTACATGATTAGTTATTTAAACTGGCAGAAAATAAAACTCTTTTAGTTATTACTCACAGATTAGAAAATATAGATAAATTTGATAGAGTTGTCGTTTTGGATAATGGAAGTATTGTTGAATGTGGACATGTTAGTTAACTAAGATAAATTAAAGACGGATTTTTTAATAGATTATTAAAACATTGAATAAAATATAATTACTTTATAATAAATATAAGATTATTGAAAATTAAAAAAAGATTAAGAACTTAAAGAATTATCTTAATATATAATCTTAAATTTTAAAATAATCATCCGTATTTAAATATTCAAATTTATTAGATACTTTAATTTTTTTTTTTTTT